GGTGCTAGGCATGAAACCCAGGGTGTCCCATATGCTAGGCAAGTGCTCTACCATTGAGTCTACAAACCTCAGCCGCATATGGAAATTTTAGAACTGAAAAAATACAACAAAATGGAAAACTCAATGGATGAGCTCAGCATTAAATGCCAAAGAAAACAAACAATCTGTGATTTTGAAGATAGAACAATAGAATTTTTCCAATCCAAATAACAGAGAGAAAATAGACTTAAAAAATGAACAAAAGATGGGCGTGGTGGCACAAGCCTATAATCCCAGCAGCTCAGGAGGCTGGGAATGTGGCTTAGTGGTTAAGTGCCCCTGGATTCAATACCTGGTACCCACTCCCCCAAGAAATTAATAGTCTCAGGGACCTGCAATATTAACACAAAAGATCTAACATTACTGTTTGCATAGTCTTAGAGAGAAAGGAGAAAAAGCATAGGCCCATACAAGTACTTGAAAAAATAATGGCTGAAACTATGAATATTTAGCAAAAGACATAACTCTACAGATTAAAGAAGCATAGTGAAACCAAAAAGGATAGAACCAAAAATATGCACAACAGGACACATAATAATCAAACTTCTTAAAGCTAAAGACAAAGATAGAATTGAGAAAGAGATGTCATCTGACTATAAGAGGAAAGCAATTTGAATGACAGCAGATTTCTTATCATACTAGGAAAATCAGAAGGAAGTGGCACATTTTCAAGAGGCTGGTGTTGTGGCTCAGCAGTAGAGCACTTGCCTAGTATGCATGAGGCTCTGGGTTCAATCCTCAGCTTCACATTAAAAATAAATGAATAAAATAAAACTATAAAAAAGAAAAAAAGAACTGTCAAGTTAAAATTCAATGTTCAGCAAAAGTATCCTTCAGGAATGAAGGGAAATCAAGACATTCTCAGACAAAGGAAAATTTAGAGAATTATCACCAACAGAACAACTCTAAAAGGATAACTAAAAGAAATTCTTAAAATGCAAAGAATATGAAAGAATGAAGGAATTTTGGACTACTGGAAAGGAGGAAAGAACAATGAAAAGAGGAAAAACATGAGGAAATATAACAGACTAATTCTTTCCTGAGGTTTTACAAATGGTGTTTCAATAACATTTCCTGATGTGGTTCTAAAAGTATGTAGAGGAAATATTTAAAACATAAATGGGGGAGATGAAAGGGACTTACATGTATGTAAGGTTTCTACACTTTACTCAAACTGATAAAATATTAATGGAAATAGACTATAATAAGCCATGTATATACAAGTTACTCCAGGAAGGCAGGAGAGAGGAATCAGAAAAGAGAACAAAAAGAAAACGAAAAATTAAATGTCAGACACAGCCCTAAAATATTGATAATTAAATGTAAGTGGCCTAAATATATCAACTAAAACAAAGATTGTTATAGTGGGGTGAATAAAAGACCCAGCTATATGATATTTACAAGTTATTATAACTGTGAGGCTAAACATATAGCTCAATGGTAGAGTATCATGCATGAGACCATAGGTTTAATCCTCAGCACTGAAAAATATTATTTATACACACACACACACACACACACACAGTTACATAGTTTGGTTCAAAGCAAAAGATCAGAAAAAGATATACTTTTCAAACATTAATTAAAAGAAAGCATAAGCGCCTATGTTTTAATATCAGATAAAGTAGCTCTTGGAGCAATAAGTTTACCAACAGAAAATGTGGCACATAATGGTAAAAGGGTCCATCTACTAATAAGACACAATTTTACATGTATATACCCCCAAAATGGAGTCACAAAATATATGATGCAAAACCTAATAAAACCAAATGGGGAAATAGACAAATCTACAATTATAGTTGGAGATATAAACAACTTTCTCTCAATAATTGATAAAACAACTAGACATAAACCAGCAACACATAGAACTGTACACCATTAATTAACAGACTGTAAATGGTACATAGAGACACTTTACCATGTGCTTGTAGTCACAACCCTTGGAAAGTTTGAGGTAGGAGGGTTGCATGAGATCAGCCTGGGAAACCTAAACCCCATCTCAAAAAATAAACAGCTGGGCACAGTGGTGCACACTTGTAATCCCAGTGACTCAGGAGGTTGAGGCAGGAGTATCACAAGTTCAAAGCCAGCCTCAGCAACTTAGTGAGGTCAAAAGCAAATCAGTGAGACCCGTGTCTCTAAATCTCTAAATAAGATATAAAAAAGGGCTGGGAAAAAAAAAAAAAAAGGGCTGGGAACGTGGCTCATTGGTTAAGGCCCCTGGGTTCAATCCCCAGTACTCCCCCCCAAAAATCCCCCAAACCAAACCAAGAAATACCCCAAACACTCAACCCAGCAATAGCAGAGTCAACACCACACTTTTTTTTTAAGAGAGAGAGAGAGAGAGAATTTTTTAATATTTAGTTTTAGTTTTCAGCGGACTCAAGATCTTTGTTTGTATGTGGTGCTGAGGCTCGAATCCGGGCTGAATGCATGCCAGGCGAGTGTGCCACCGCTTGAGCCACATCCCCAGCCCCACACATTCTTTTCAATAATCTAATCAACAAAACATTTTCCAAAATAGATCATTTTCTGTAGGCAACAAAAGAGACCTCAACAAATGCAAAAGAACTGAATGGTGTAAAAGAAAAGAGCAGTAGACTCAAACTAGAAATCAATAACAGAAATAGAACAGGAAAATCTCTAAACATCTGGAAACTATACAACACATCTGTAAACAAAACAAAACAAAACAAAAAAACCCATAGGTCAAAGAGAAAATCTCAGGGAAATTTTAAAAATACATGAAAGTAAAATGTTCTGGTTACCCATTTTATAATCAACTAATTATAAGGAGAAATTTTCTATTAAGAGAGAAAAATATTTTTAAAAAATTATGATTTCTGAATTTGAATGTTGGTTTAAGAAATTTTTTGAGGAGCTGGGGATGTGGCTCAAGCGGTAGCGCGCTCGCCTGGCATACGTGCGGCCCAGGTTCGATCCTCAGCACCACATACAAAACAAAGATGTTGTGTCCGCCGAAAACTAAAAACTAAATATTAAAAAAAAAATTCTCTCTCTCTCTCACTCTCTCTTAAAAAAAAAAAAATTGATGATTGGGCTGGGGATGTGGCTCAAG